ATAAATATATTAATAAAATAAATGTATCTAATTTTATTTATTTTTTCAATTAAAAATTGTACTTTTTAAATACACGTTTCCTTTTCTATTAGTGAAATTTGATTTTTAAGAATTCGTGTTATTTATTTATATATTATAATATTTTAAAAAGATAAGTCTTAAAATATAGGCTATATAAAGCTAAGAAACCATGTTTTAAAATAGTATTAAATAAAATAGTTATATAATTTTAAGTTTTTAATAATTTTTGAGTGACTTTACAGTAAATAAATTAAAATTTGTTTTGATAAATAGACCTATATAAAGATTTTTACAAGGCAATTTTTTAGCGTAAAGAATAAAGATATTTGTATAAATATTTCTAAAAATTTCAATATATTTAATTAATTAATTATACTTTTAAAATAGTTTATTATAAATTTATTACCATTTTGATAAATTAAGTAAGGCATATTAGATTTTCTATAGAAGGGACTTAAACTTCCGGAAATAGCGAAAAGGAAGTCGAACTTTACACATCCTGAGTCTGATGAAATCGAAATTATTGTTTAAATACTTCATTTTTTACCCATTTTTTTAAAGAAAGTGATAATAAATCATGTGTATATCAGTAATCTCTTTTAAATTTATTTGAGATGAGAACCAAGGTGGTCCATATTACTTTGTCTCAAAAGATATTAGTAACTTTCTTGATCTTGCTTTCACCTATAATTGTGCTCTATCTATCAATTACGCTCAGGGGTTCAATTCTGACCATAATGCAATATGTCTAGATGTCTTGTTAAATACCAATAAACAGCAATCTGCTAAATACATTAATATTCCCATTTGGGCCTCATTCAACGTTACTGAGGCCTCAAAAATCCTTTGCTCCATTGACTGGATCTTCTTCGACTCTCCTATTTCTCCTCAGAAACTTGCCGATAAAATTTACAACTTGTTTTCTGCCACTATTAAAAAATTATTACAATTCCGTAAAATAAACTCTTCTGCCAATACATGGCTTCCTCATTTTATATAATATATAATGTAACTTATGTTTTACTTTGTTTATAATTTTTATTATGTCTTTTATATCTTTTATATTTTGTAAGTATTTTATTGGGGATCATTTATTTCTTGTTGTCAGGAGGGTGGAATACAATCGTCTCTGACGTTTCCAATTGTATAGGCAGAAGGTGGTATTGTAGAACACTGCAGGTATTATGGAATTCCTCCATTTCGAACTGATAATAAAGGCGAACTGTAGCGAATTGTGGCTGAACTGCACTAGACAGACATCCATAGCGAGAGGAAAACCCTTTTCACTTCAATTAAACGGTTGTCCGTAGTGAATTAGCATATTTGCGTTTTTCGAAATTCGAAAGTTTAGAATGCTAAGTGAATTTAATTATTTTTAAAATATAAATCATGTAGTTGTACGTTCACTGGTGCACGTATTCCGTTGCAGAGATTTAGGGGTACAGTACATATTAATCTGTGTAATGTTCACGTTTTTTTTAAATTTGGTCTTCACTATAATGAAAATGGGGTTCCATAATACCACTTTCTCCTCTACTAAATTTAAAAAAATTAAAAGAAAAAAACATTTGCGATTTAGATAAGCCATTAAGCTGATTCACTAAAATCATGTTACTTAAATGCTGTGATTCTTCTTATACTATGAACATTGATTTAAAAAAGTTATGCATCCGAATAGAATATTGCCAAAGCAGCTAACGAATTCTGATAAAGGTCGCATTATCAGACTGAGGGAAGCAGGATGACCGAATTACACATTATCTGGGTCGTTCTGACCTAAGCGTGAGAAAGTGTTAAGGACAATACACACGTCAAGACCAGGTTCTGAATGCCCCAGACAGAATGCCAGGACAGACAATCATCTGATCGTCAAACAAATACAAACAGCTGCAACGGCATCTTTGTCCATCAACCAGAAATAGTTGAAAACCTCATTACAGGATCCATACTATTGGAAGGCGATTAGCATAGGGAAATTTGCATAAACAGTGAGTGCTACGCGGCTTGTCACTAGCATCAGTTTCGTTTGTAATGGTGCCTTGATAGAGAAGGATGAACCACTACGTACTGATAGTTTACTAACCGGAATTCATCACTAAAGACGAATCCCGATCCTGTTTGGAAACGAGCCAATTATGAGAGCTTCAATCCTGTTTTTACTGATGAGTGGATCATTGTCATCACTGTTGGTGTTCTAGTCTGGAGAATAGAAACGGCTCCTCAGATCATCATGCCATTATGAAGATCGATCATCCTTATTCTATTGCCTTTCAAGCAAGACTGCAAACCAATTTTTCAGCTGGATAATGCTCGACTGCACACAGCTAAGGTTTACCAGAAATATCTGTCATGCTGCTACATTTTCTTGGGCTTTTTGACTAAAGTTTACATATACGTATGCTAATTTGTATATTAAAATTTATTTATAGGAATTGCTTTAGCTAAACGAGAAGGAATTTATCTAGGAAATTTGCGTTTGAATAATGTTTTGCACGAAGTCGAAGGAGACGTTTACGTTATAAATAAAAATTCTTTTTATATCAAAAATTTTAACTATGATGGCAATGCACCTGGTAAGTAGTTAACAGCTTTATTTTATAATTTTTTTAAAATTAAATTTTATAAATTTAAAATCTTTAAAAATTAATTTAGATGCACATTTCTGGGTTGGAAATTCGAAAGAACCCTCTGCCAAAGGAACTAAAGTTCCAGATGAATTTGGAAGGTTTATATTTTAGATCTCATTATTTTTATTATAACTATATATTACTATTAATTAATTATTTTAAAAAACTAATATTATTGTTATTATTATTATTATATTTAAATTTTTTATTATTAAAGAATAAATAAAGAAATAAATTCTATAAAATGAAAAATCCCTGGGGCTTTTTCAACCCGTCCAATGAAAATTTAGATAGAATTTAAGTTAAAATGTACAAATAGAGAAACAATTATTTAATGTATTCATTTAAAATTAATTTATATTGTCTAATATCATTCCTTTTTTTTAATGTTATTAACTTTATTCAGTATTTATTTTCATTACAGTTTCAGACCTCTTGAAAAATATCAGAATAAGGATATTGTAATATCATTACCGAAAAATGTAACCTTTTCTAATATAAAGTGGCTAAGTGTTTGGTGTATACAATTTAATGTATGTACCATTATTATCAAATTTAGATATTATGAAATTAATTATAAAATTACTTGTATTGATTAAACCAAATTTCAATTTCAGGCGAATTTTGGATATGTAAACGTTTCCAATTTTACTCCTCCCGAAGAAGTGACCCTTTCATCTTTGGTTTCTAGAGCTCATGGAGTTAAATCTGGAAAGATAATTTTGAAAGATTCGAAAACTATTATCATACATCAGTTATATTACGATGGTGTTGCTCCTGGTCAGTTAATACTTATTTGCGTTAAATTTTTAAAACTTCAATACAAATAGAGTAAACGTAGTTAATATGGACCACCATGTTGTCTTTGACTCACTACTTTCGAGTAACTGCTGCAATTGAATTAACTTTGTGATGCAAGGTGCGAAAACTGATACCAATGATATCACAAGAGCATCTACGTTAGTTTCATCATAAAAATTTAAAAGTGAAGATAATATAAACAACTGTGGTAATTCACATTACAAGGATGCTTCTAAAAACAAACAGAAAGTTACTATTTTGTATAAAATATACACAGAAATGTGTCTTCTTTCTGCTCCATATTTCAAAGATGTGTCCAAAGTTGGCACTTCTAACACTGGATCCATTCCTCACCAGCATGGTAGCGGCAGAATAATTAGAGTTGCACTACTCTTTTCCTTCTGGTTTTGCAAGAAATGACTAGTAATGTGTACTACAGCAGCGTAAAATTTGCTGATGATACGGACCATTGTCTTTATCATCTGCAATTGCTTTGGATCCAGAAACCAATTCTTAGCACCAATCAAACAGCAGATACAACGTTGACAATGCGTAGATAATCAAGAATAACAACACAGCAAACTACCAAAAACATTACGATCTTTGGCAACTTATCCATTTAGCAGTTACACGGGTTGCAGTATCAACGACCAACAAGAGTTGAATGGTATAAAAAACGTCCGAGTCTCTCATCTACGTTCTCATTGAGTGGCAATCATTTTCAGCATACAGGGGCAAGGGAGTGAAGCTATTGTTCTCCGAAAGAAGACGGGTGAATCAGTACAGAGAAATGTAGGTGGTCTATATAAGCTGAGTTTACTCTATCATTAAGTCTTGGCCATCCAAGACTAAATGTTTAATCTATTCTATATCTATCTATATATAGATTTTAATGTANAACGTCCGAGCCTCTCATCCACGTTCTCATTGAGTGGCAATCATTTTCAGCATACAGTGGCCCAGTGAAGTACGCGTCACGCTATTGTTCTCCGAAAGAAGACGGTTGAATCAGTACAGAGCAATGTAGGTGGTCTATATTAGCTGAGTTTACTCTATCATTTAGTCTTGGCCATCCAAGACTAAATGTTTAATCTATTCTATATCTATCTATATATAGATTTTAATGTATATATTGTATATATATATATATATATCCAGATCTTTCACAGAAGTGAACTAATATTATCTGGTCTACTAGCGCATATATCCTATATTACTTTATAAAAGATTTGTCTAAATATATTTTTTTTTCAGATGCATATTTTCTTGTGGGAAAAGATAAACCCAACCCATCCGGTTTTAAAGTACCAGACGAAAATGGAAGGTTACTTTCTATTCTCTATTTTCCTAGTTTTAAGTTATTTATAATATTATTAACTGTCTATTTCTTAACATTTTCTAATTAAATTGTTTTAATTTCATTTAGACAAGGAAAAATAAAGGGTTATCAAGGAAAAACTGTAACACTTCGTCTTCCGAATAATCTAACGTGGTTTGATTTAGATTGGTTTGCTCTCTATTGCATTTCATACAGAGAAAATTTCGGTGAAGTTTCTATTCCAAAACATCTAAATATCCCAATTCATTTATCTGATCTTTCTCAAATGCAAAATGTAATTTCCTTTTTAAATATATATTTTAAACATAATTATATTAAATCGTAGCACATTAATCTATAAAAAAAAATATTACATTTTAAAGCAAATTCCACCATTGGAGAATTGTTATGAGATGATTAAAGATCATCTTAATGTCAGATGGAAAATTGATGGAAATAATATTTATATTCAATTGGAAGGAAGAGCTAGTAAGATGTTATACTGTTTAAATTCTGTTTATGACGGTTATGTAAGTAATATAAATACTTTAATTACTGTTTCAGGTGTCAGTGAATATTTATCATTTGGTATTAGTGGTCATCAAGATTATGCTTCAATGGAAGGTGCTGACGTTGCTGTTACTTTTTATGATGAAAGCGAATCAACTGTCAAAGTTGTAGATTATTATCTCATCAGTAAAGCTCAGGTTTGTAAAGCAGTCATTATATTCTTAATCATTATAACCTCATATTAAATGTTCTTTATTATTATAACTAGTGTTCGTTAAACGATGGAGCTTGTCCCGACATTAGAGTCGGTGGTTCACAGAATATCATGCTGATGAATTCGAAATATAGAGATGGAATTTTAATATCAACATATCAACGTCCTTTAGAAGCAGGTAAAACTTATAATTAGATAAATCTAAAAGTATGTATGGCTGAATTTAAACTACACTTAGAGCTTTACATATCGGCTTATCATAATTATTATTATAAAACTGATTATCTGCTTATCAATTCTAAAACATGCCCTGGGAAAATACATAAAATTAAACTAGAATTCAATAATTTATTGATATAAATTGTAATTTTATATATTATAAAAATTGAAAAAAAAAATAATTTAACTATTATTTTAATCAAAGTTGATACGAACGATAAGTCGATAGAAGTAAACAAAACTACAACTGTTGTAGCAGCAATTGGACCGATCAATTCCAGAAAAGAAGTGGCTAAACATAGATTAGTTACAAGAGGTAATAATTATAAGTATTATTTTTTTTATAATTGAGCATTTCCTAACAATTACTCATAGATATTTTGCGGTTCCCATAAAAGTAGTATTATCTACAAACTTATTTTGTGAAAAATATAATAAAATATATTATACAAAATGGCTGAAAACTTTTAAAACATAATTTTAACGTCACGAATTTACAGATACAATTAAAATAAATTTCAACGAAGATGGACAAGAACAACAACAATGTACTCCTTTAACATCAGATACGACATCTAAACCCTTTCTTAAACCTTGGCCATCTCTTAAAATAACCGACGAGACAATATTCAAAGCAAAGATAGGACCCACTGGTGGAAACAGAGGATATTCTGCTATAACTGGTTAGTATAATAGTAAATTATTTTTTTCAGTTTTAATTATATTAAATAAAATGCAAAATCTTTTCTATAAATCTTTAACATTAGGTATACCAAGTTGGGGATTTTGCTGGTGGATTAACGGATTACTAATACCCGAACTAACTGTAAAAAGAGGAGTAACGTATACTTTTATTGTAGAAGGAGGTAACGATATTACTAACGGTGCTAAAAATCATCCTCTTTATATTACAAATAATAAAGAAGGTGGAGGATATCAAAGTCAAGATGAACTTTGGACACCTGTAAATATGAATTTAAGTAGTTTTAATGATAATTATTAAATTTAAAAACATTCTATATTTCATAGAAACATATGGTTTACGCTGGACTAGAAAGAGATGGAAATAATACAATCTTAACAGGAGGTAAGTCATTAAGTATCTAACAAATTTGTATTGTCTATCACTATTAACATGGTATTTTGATTTTAGGAGGACGCTTTTGCGAATATAAATTAAATGGTGTGGATATGTCAGATAGTTTTGACACTTTCGAAGAATATAAGAAAACTGTAACGTTAACTTGCGATGAAGGAAATCCTGCAGTATTTAATTGGACACCCAATCATGATACACCCGATATTGTTTATTATCAGGTAAATATATTTTTAATTCAACCATATAAAAACATTTCGCATAAATATTTATAAAACATTTTATATTTTTAGTGTTATACACACAGGAATTTTGGATGGAAAATTCACGTGGTTAATTCCACTGCAACGATACTATTATCGTGGAACTGGATTTTATTTTTATGTATTTTCAATATTAAATTATTTAATTTCTATGTAAGCATTTGGTAATAAGAAACTTTACACGGAGAAATATTTTCTTTTATGTAATTATATTTCTTAAACTGCATTCTTACTGTTTTTTTGTATTTCAAACGGTCAAAATGTCAATTAAACCACGAGTATATTTTATCGTTTTATGAGTTTAATGTTTGTTGGACTATTTAAATATTACAGATTCTTAAACCGGCATAGAGAACTGAGTTCGAATCAAGACTAAATCGAAAAACCCCAGGGTAATCCGTCCGGATATATCAGGCCCAGTTCCTGTCGCCTGATATATTTGGAGTGTTCAACCCGGCTGTCCGATTGTGGGCTTACCGAACCCATAATGAGCCTGTTAAAAAGAGAACCCACAGAGCCGGAGAGAAAGAAATACTATCAAATATATACCGTATATGTATGCTACTGTAAAAGTCCGAAGTCCGGCAAATCCGGACATTAACCGGTATTGATTGGTATAAGTCCGAAATCGATGATAAATGTCTACAATTTGTGCTTATTACAAGAGATACCGGATTTACCGATCGGCTTGAGTTAAAAAAGTATTCATACATATCTTGTTTTGTAACATACTTACAGTACAATAGAAATTTAAAAAAAAAATTAAAGTATCCAGCTTGAAAAAGGTAGAATTTTTAATAATGACATAAATACTTTTTCATACTTTCTAGCCTAAGATGTTTTAAAAAAATGTTTAAACCTAAAAGAGAACATTTTAAAACATTTTATTTATTTATCTAATACAGAAATAAGGATGTTTGTTTGTTTGTTCGCGATGTACTCCTAGGCCGTTCGACCAATTGCTACGAAACTTAGTAGTTATGTTCAAATACATCTAACTTGAATCATATCATAATCCTACACCAAAAATTTCGATTGCATTTCATTACAGCGACAATGATATAGCGCGAAATACATGTGCTATTACGTCGTTACTACGACAGGTAGCACATAGCACTTCTGAGTAAAGTGTAGTAGTGCTTTTCCCTCTGTAAATGACCCTTTTCGTGTTAGCAATGGAAATCTAACTCCGTTCGAGAGAAACTTTTTGAATTAAAATCACATGATTTCCGATCTATTCCGGATATTCGAATACAGTTAATCGGGTCTTTCTTCCCCTAAACTTTCTATATTTGATCTTTTATATATTTTGTATTGTTTCTTTATACAGGATTTGTTATTCATTGTTTATACGGAGATGACCAATATTGGTCACTCCAGCCTTGCTAAAGTAATAATGTAATACAGAATAATAATATAATAAACAAGAGCTAATTAGATTTAAAATTATTTAAATTTATTTAAAAAAAAATTATAAATTNTAGAACTTAATAGCAGATATCAAACTTCAAGTAAAAAAAAAAAAAAATACATATAATAAATATGAGTCTAAAAATAAATTTATAAATCATGCTCAGCAAATTCATAGCAAAGAACAGAACATACATGTAAACTTAACATATTTTTCAAAGATAAACATTGTATCATTAATAACATATTACAAGAAAACAAACAAGTCAGATATTTTAAATTAAAATTCAATTTTACATTTTTATATTTTAAAAAATGAAACTTTACCTTATCTGCAATGTTTTCAAGATAGCAATTGCCCATTTCTATTATATATATATATATATAAATTCTCCCTAACGAAAACAATAACTTTATTCGCATTATCTAGTTGATCAAATGATCATAAAAAGCGCCCATCCATATCGTCATCAAATTTCATAACTCGAACAATTTTACGAAATTGGACGAGGATAACTAATATTTACTCAAGTAATTTTTTTTTTCAGTAGAATTTTTGCCCATTTGTCACGCATACAATGTGACTCATTGTTCATTTTATTTCGGGTTAAGTGTTATTGCGTGCAACAATAAATATGATGAATTCTTATAACTATCGATTCTCTAAATACATAATTTTTTTTTTTGTGAAGAAAACGTTAAAAAAAACCCCTGTATTAATTTGTAAAAATAATCGTTATATTTAGGATTTATGAAAAAAAATTGAGAGTGAAAATATGTTTAAAATTTAAAAATTTTTGTATGATAAAACAAAGATGTATTAAGGAAAAGAAGATACTAAAGAGATGATGATGATGATGCTGAAGAGGATGAGTAAAAATAATTATCTTTATTATTATAATAATTTCGTTATAAAATTTAAAGAAAATTCTCTAAAAATGAACGAAAATTACTCAAAAATTATATAAATTTAGAGATTTCCGAATGATAAAAACAAAGATGCTAAAGAAGCTGAAGAGGAAGAAGAAAATTAGAAAGATATTTACTACAATGATTTTTGTTTTTAAAATAAAAATAAAAGTTAAAACGGTACATTCATTAAACTTAATTTGATGATGAGAAAAAAAAAAAAAACGAAATAAGTTTGAAAAATTAGACGTTTTTAAAACATTACTTAAAGTAAAAATAAATGAATAAAAAGTGTCGAAACTAGAGCCACAAGTTGATTAGCATATATTCTACTTTGATTTTCTACTCTGTCAAAGGTAATATAATACATTTAATGGTATAACACTAGAGAGAACAAAGTGTCAAAGTGTATCAACCCTTCTAATGTCAGTTAAGAAGGAAAAAAATGATCCAAGAGAGAGAGAGAGAGCGAATTACTTAAAGCAAGCGAAAGAGCACTTTTTAACCTTAATCTACAGTAAAAACACGCAAACAATGACTGACTGACTAACCTAGAATGATTAAGTGAAAAATTACAAATAAGTTTTTCTTCCACTTTTATCTTCCCGTAGGAATCGAAATCAATATGTTTTTAGTGCATTTCGGAAAAGCACTTATTGGCTAAGATCAACTTGGGAATTGGCTGCAAGCAAGCGCTCCTCTCGTTAATGACACGAATTGTGTTTTTGGAGAAAGATGCTACATTAGAAAACATACTCTTCCGATCTGCGCCTGTTTGACAGCGGTAATTCTGTACAGAAGTGTAATTCCCACTTGAATAACATTGTTGATTACTTTTCAAACATTATTTGCAAACGTTTTTTTTATTTTTTTATTTTATTTTATTTTTTTTTAACTCTCGATCCTCTTATATCAAATATTCGTTCGTCTGTAAGTCTGATTGTTACCTCTAGAGGATGCTAAATCACTCGATCTATTTAAAGGAACGTGTCCAACAGGCCACATTTTTTATACCGAAATTAATTCTTTATTGTTAATTTTCTGTTTTTAAACATATTTTTAAGCTTCATTTTATATCTAGTTTTTAAATATTTAACAATCTTACCTCGTAGAATCCATTGAAGGAACGTGTATAAATATTGTTGATCGTGTAAATGTATTTACTCTTTTCTAAGATTTTCATTTACTTCTCTTCAATTTACATTAATTAAAATAAAGAAATGGAAAATAAATAGAAGTTATTCAGTGATTTCCATAAAACACTTTTTTTTTATGATAAACTTAATTATTTATAGATCTAAATAAATTAATTATAGATTTTAAAGTAAATTTTAATTAGTTTTTACATCATTTGCTTGAATTAAAACGTTTTATTTACTTAAAAGAGATCAAAGTTAATATTTTAAATTGTTTTTTTTTATACTCTACAACATTACAGAAATGGAGTTTAATTCAATTTTTAAGTATTTGTCTGTTTTGCATTTAATTCTCATCCCCTTTATTTCAAATTAGTGGAAAGAGAAGGAGAGAAAGACTATATCATTTACCTGTTTAAAAAATGAAGTATTTTAAAAATATGTTTAAATTAAAAACTAAATATTAAAAAGAATGTAAAAGTAGGGTGTTTTTTTCACACTTACTTAGCTTGAGAAAGAAAAATACTTTACTTAAGCAGGAGTAAGAAAACAATGTCTTCAATCACTCGGATACATTTTAATGACTTTAAAAACTAGGCATTTACTTGTAAGCCGCATCTCTGTTTGACACTACAATTAAACACTTCACACTCAATAAGTGTAAAGCTATCCAACATCTTTACCATTCAAATTACCTGGCTTCTATAAGGAAAAACAAGCTGACAGTATTCCCTATTGAAAGCTTTTCTATTATTATTTTTTTTTTTTTTTATTCTTTTCCCCTTCTTTTCTAACCTTTCTTCTTTTCTCTGTCTCTTCGGAAATTACTTTCCTTCCACTTCGTTCAAGCCATTAAGTTTTAATTTGTAAGCATGTCCCAATAGAACCACTGGTTGAGAAATTTAATGCATACAAATGTGCTAGGGTGGTTCTACTTTATTCTCGCCCACCAATGGCAAAACTGGATGGTGAGTGGAGGCAAGTCGTTAGCAAAGGAGTCCATTTGCCCCGCTGATTTTCCATTACTGTTACGTTTCTATAGGTCTACAGGTTTAGATTCGAGCATAAAAAGAGGGATCTGTTACAGAGAAGGGGGAGAAAGATATCTTCTTCTTTTTTTTTTTTTTTTGTATAAAAGAAGAAGAAAAATGCAAATTAAGATGAGTAAATTCTGTTTGGATATAAAAATCTTAATAAAGAATAAGGCTAGGACGTTTTCTATTCAGTCGACTTCTCTTTTATGTCCCTCGCTAATGTGAGAGAAAAAAGTTACCTATTCAAGAAAATGCCATTCATCGTCATACAAGATGAAGCCAGAAGGTGTTTGTGGAAAATGAAAGATGGATTCGTTTCTTCGCTTCTTCTTCTTTTTTTTTTAATAAGATAAACAAATTCTTAATTAAATAAAATATATTTTTAATCATAACAACAATAATGCGCTTCTAGTTTATTTTCGAAGACAGGTGTTTTTTTTTTTTTTTTTTAGAAACTTATTAATTGAATGTCACGTATTTATATGGAAATCTCTTTAATAAGTTTAGAAAAAAAATCTCTAAAATCTTATTTTTTTATAGAAAAATCCTATAAATTTATCTAAAAATAGTTTATATGACTTATCTACTATATAGGGTGGCCTAAAAGTCAGCTAACCTCATCTGTTCCAGGTATACTTATGAGTAAACTGAGGTTTAGAACAACTTGAAAAAACAAGAAATAAAAATATAATTAAGTATTTAAATATCTGAATATTATTATTTATTAATTAATTGATTTTTTTGGGGGGGTCACCCTTATTAAATATAATAATTACGAGTGTATGGCGCCGCTTATTTAATACTAAT